TAATCATAATTCAACTTCTGTGAGATGGTATCTCATTGTGGTTTTATTTGCATTTCTCTAATAATCAGTGATGTTGAGCTTTTATTCATAGGCTTGTTGGCTGCATAAATGTCTTCTTTTGAAAAGTATCTGTTCATATCCTTTTCCCTCTTATTAATGGGTTTTTTCTTAATTGTAAATTTAAGTTCCTCATACATGCTGGATATTAGACCTTTGTCAGATGAACAGTTTGCAAATATTTTCTCCTATTCTGTAGGTTGTCTGTTTACTCTGTGAATAGTTTCCTTTGCTTTGTAGAAGCTCTCAAGTTTAATTATATCTCATTTGTCAATTTTTGCTTTTGTTGCAATTGCTTTTGGTGTTATTACAAAATCTTGGCCAGTTCCTATGTCCAAAACGATATTGCCTAGGTTGTCTTCCAGGGTTTTTATTGTTTGAAGTTTTAAGTCTTTAATTCATTTTGAGTTGATTTCTGTATATGGTATAAGCAAGAGGTCCAGGTTCAGTCTTTTGCATATGGCTAGTTATCCCAGCACCATTTATTGAATAGGGAGTTCTTTACCCATTGCTTGTTTTTGTCAACTTTGATGAAGATCAGGTGGTTGTAGGTTGCTTAGATTTTAATTGAGAATTTGTTGAATTTATAGATCAATTTGGGAAGAATTGATAATCTAACAATATAGTCTTCCAATTTATACACATATATTTCTTGATTTATTTGCATTTTTAATTTTTCTTAATATTTTGTATTTTTAGCATAGAGTTCTTGCACGTATTTTTTCAGATCTATACTAGAGTATTATATTTACTTGATGTTTTTGTAAGTGACATGATTTTTTAATTTCAGCTCCCAGTTGATTATTACTAGCATTGAAATATACAATTCATTTTATATCTTCTTTTACTATTCTTTCATCTTCCTAAACTCACCATTACTTGCAGCAGATTTCTAGTAGGTTACATTGTATATTTTACCAGATAACTGTGTCGTTTGGGAATTTCAAAGCTTATTTCTGCCTTTCTAATCTGGGGGATGTTTACTTATTTTTATTCCCTGACACCACTAGCTAGAACCTCCAGCATGTTAAATAGAATTAGTGAGAAAATATATTCTTACCTTATTCCTTGTCATTGCATGAGAACACTGTCTTTCACAGTTATGTCTGATAGCTGTTGTTTGTAGATGCCCCTTTTTAAGTTGAAATGTCTCCTATTTCCAGTGTGCTGAAAGAGTTTTTTAAAATTAGAAATGGATGTTGAATTTTGTCAAATGCTTATTCTGTGACTGCTGAGATGATCATATGTGTTTTTTTTAGCTTGTTAACATGGCGAATTACATGGCTTGATTTCTTAATGTTAAGCCAATCTTGCATTACTGAAGTAAATTGAGCTTGATCATGATGTGCTACTACTTTTATATATTGCTGTATTCGATTTAGAATTTTTCCATATATGTTCGTAAGAGAAAATAGGTTGTTGTTTTTGTTTGTATGTTTTGGGAATGTCTTTATCCAGTTTTGGTATCAAGGTAACACTAGTGTCATAGAATGAGTTGAGTATTCCCTTTGGAATATTGCCACTGAGTTTGTGTAGCATATTCATTTCTTCCTTAAAGCTTTGGGTTTGGTAGAGGTCACTAATAAAGCAATAGGGGTCTGGACTTTTCTATATATATATATATATATGTTATTTTATCTATGTGTGTCTCGTATATACATATATAACACACAGGTGCACACATATATGTATGTAACACACAAACACACACATATGTACATATGTAACATAACAGATAGATATAATTTTCCTTGAGAAATATATATACTCTCCACTGAGGACTTCAATTACCTGCCAATTAGACAGCTTGAAGTTTTTCTGTAGTTCACTGATGCTTTGTTTACTTTTTTCAGACACTTTCCCCTTTACGTGTCATTTTGCATCATTTTTATGGCTATATATTCAGGTTTGCTAGTCTTTTCTTTGGCAGTGTTTTATCCATCATTAATTTCATTTAGTGTATATTTTGAAAATCTTAGACTATGTGCTTTTTACCACTAGACTTTTGATTTTGGTGTCATTTTATACTGCCCATGTCTGTATCCAATATGTTTAATCTTTCTCAGCTTTTCTGAGCATACTGAATTAACTCATAACAATTGTTTCAATATCCCTGTCTGAAAATTTTAACACCTGTGTCTGTTTTGTTGTGTTGGTTTTGATTGGTCTTTTTCCTTGTTATCCACAATCTTTTAAAGCCTCCTTGCATGTCTGCTAGTACAGGATGTCTGGCATCCTGTACTTTTACTGGATGCCAGATATTGTGAGTTTTACCTTGTTGTATGCTTGATAGTTTTGTATTCCTATAAACAGTTCTGAGCTTTGTTCTGGGATACGGCTATGTTACTTGGAAACAGTTTCATCAGATGCTACTTTTAAGGTTCGTTATACAGGACCAGAGCAGCCATTAGTCTAGAGCTAATTATTCTCCACTACTAAGGCAAGTCTTGTCTGAACATTATACCCAGTTTCCTATGATTTAGGAAGTTTCCCAGTCTGGCCTTGGTAATAGGGCATGCTTGCTTGCTCTGTATAGTTCCTGAATACTGTTTCCCTAATCCTTTTAGATGGTTCTCTTCCTGGCCATGGTTCATTTCCTCACACAGATGCACTGATTATTATTATTCTGCAGAATCCGAAGTTAAGCTCTCTGCATATCATGGTCTGTGCTATTTTCTCTTCTCTAGTATTCTTCCCTGCAAGATCTAACTATATATTTTCACTGGAGTTGGTCTGTGTTCTTTCTGTACGATACCCAAAAAACTTTCTTAAGGTTGTAAGCTAGAGCAATCGTAAGACTTACCTCATTTGTTTTCCATATCTTTTATTTTTGTCTGATTCCACTATCCTGAAAATCATTGCTATTTTCATTTTATTTGGTTCTTCAGTTGTTTAGATTAAATGGAAGGGTAAAGCCAGTTCTTGTAACTCATCTTGTTTGAAGTAGAAGCTTCTCTTTATTTTAAAAAATATTGTATTTGGGACATACAGATATATGTATATATATAATGGATATGTGAATTATAAATAAAAATGTAAATTATACCAGTTACTATAACAAGCAACCCCAAAAATACAATTTTCCAATGCCTTATAGCAGAAATCCCGAAGCCCAGGGCCACTTACTAGTCTGTGGACAGTGGCATATCAGGAACCAGGCCACACAGCAGGAGGTGAGCAGCAGACCAGTAAGCATTACTGCCTGAACTCCATCTGCTGTCAGATTAGCAGAGGCATTTGATTCTCATAGGAATGTGAACTGTATTTTGAACTATGCATGTGAGAGATCTAGGTTGCAGCTCCTTATGAGAGTCCAACTAATGCCTGATGATCTGTGGTGCGACAGTTTCACCCTGAAATTATCCCCACCCTACCCCAGTCCATGGAAAAATTGTCTTCCAAGAAACCAGTCCCTAGTGCCAAAACAGGTGGGGACTGCTGACTTATAGTGCCTATGTCTACTTCTTTGATGCTGTATCCCACTCCTAAGACTACCCTCTCCTCAGTATTAACAATTATTCTCATTTTTATGTCTATTAATTTTATTATATTTAAAAATATGTTTATCAAATGTCTATTTGCTTAAACAATATCATATTCATTGTGTTTTTCTGATTTCCCCCTTATATTACTTAATATCAGTTTTTAAGTTTTGACCACATTTCTATTTGTAAAACATTTATTTTATTAGTTTATTGACCCTTCTCCAGTGTATATATTTGATGTTTCAGTTTTATGTTATTTATGAAGATTGATTTTTATCAACATTCTTTTCCAATGTCACTCTCTATTTTTTTGTGTGTGAATAACTTGTTTGTTGCATTTTCCCCCTCATCTGTCTGGCTGATGGAAAGACATTACTGCTGCTATTATTACATTTTAACAATGTGTAAAATGAAGTTTCTTTGCATACTTGTTTTGCTTTGAACTTGCTGAAATTTAAAAATAATCACATGCAGTTCTCTTTTCTTTAGGATATGTCTTTTAAAAAATGGTTTTGAATATTTTTTTAAGTCATTTGTTTTAGTCTCTTCTTAGAAATTTATCCACACGTCAATAGAATTTCCATTCTTTAGTCTACCCGCCTATCAGCTTTTCTTCCATTATCTTTATCTGCTTGTTTTTGTATTTCAAGAAAGCACACATGAACCACTCACAGACTTATTTTTTATTGATTATTTAACAAGTATTTATTGAGTTCCTAATATGAGTCTTCATATCCTCTGAACTTTTCAGCCTCTAAAGTACTTTTAATTCCTTTATTTGTATTCCTGTCTTATTTCATTCACCTCATTTTCTTCTTGTTCTGTCAGTATTCCTTTTTATCTTGTTGCCTTCTCAGAGAAGCTATAATTTGTAATCTATGCTTGCCAGTTTCTGCCGCTGTCTTTGGATCCTGGAATAAATACAATTCAAATAGCAATTCTAGATTGTTTTCCCTTTCTTTTTTTCATTTAATATACATTTATTGTAAAAGCAATACACAATAAAAATACACAATAGCATACAGTCTAACAAGTCACAAGGATTTTTTTCTTCTTGGTTTGTTGTTGAGAGAGATACATTAAAATATTAAGCATTGGCTCAGTGTGGTAGCTCATGCCTGTAATCCCAGCACTTTGGGAGCCTGAGGTGGGTGGATCACTTGCACTCAAGAGTTTGAGAGCAACCTGGCCCATACCTCAAGTCCCAGCTGTCCAGGAGGCTGAGGCAGGAGAATTGCTTGAACCCAGGAGGTGGAGGTTGCAGTGAGCCAAGATCAGGCCACTACACTCCAGCCTGGGCAACAGAGCGAGACTCTTTTCTAGGAAAAATAAATAAAGCATCACTACTAATATTTTATAATAAAGTATGGTTAACGCTGTTGCTAAAAACACATCTTCTTTACAATTTATATTCTTCTTCATTAAATATTGCCAAATGCTTACATATCCTACTGCTGATCACCAAAATTTTATAGTCTTATCTTGCAAATACAGTGAAAATACAATAAAACAGTTGGAAAACATATAGAGATTGACCACAAATAAGGCCCACAATGTACTGCTGTATAATGTATCTACCATCAAGTTAATCAGGCCAGTTGTTATATTTGACAGCAAGAAAAATATTAACTGTTTTCTGTTTAGAGCTGTGATTAAACAAAGACTAGGTTCCCTTCTTTCAGTTTCAGGGACTAGAGATTCTGAATGCTTTTTATTTGTAACATGTGACTGGATAAGTTTCCAAGAACATGTTACTAGAGTGCCTTTAGAAATTTGGCAAAACTCAAAATTATATCACCCAGTAATAAACTACTAAGAACAATCAGGCTAGAAGCAATTATCCAAATACAAAAGGCTAAATTTGCCATTCTTTGAGATACTGTTTCTACATTTTCTTGAACTACACAAAGAGATATAAAGAAGCTAATAGCTGCCAGAAAAAGAAAACAGGCTACTTTTATTAAGTCTTTGATATGTGATCTGTTCTTATGCACATATAACCCTGTTTGTACACCAGCCATGTGTATTGCCACATACCCCAGGATAGAGATTATTCCTTCGCGGTTGGCATTTAATAGACCAACCCGTATACCATTACCATCAGTACCATATAATATTAACCTCTTCAGTGGGGTAAAGTCAAGGGCTAGCTGGTGTAATATGGTAATTCTGAGGGCAGTAAACCAGGACTTATTTAGGGGAAAATAATCAAAAGCAGTGGTGTTACCAATTTCACAACTATTATGGTAAAGAAAAAGTTCCAGTGAACTCCATACTCAGTCACATGTTCCTGATAGCCTATTGATTTTATAATGGCTAATCATCCGATTCCTAGGAATACCAATGGCCAAACAGAGTACAATGAGTTTGTAAAGTAACACAATTTGGACCCTTCCATATATTTTCTCCTCCTGACCTCTAGACAAACCATTACAGTCCCAAAAACAAAGCCACCTACTCCAAAAGCCATTGCTCCTGTCCCATAGAGCTCAGTTTTGGCAAATCTTCTGGGAAAAAGTGGGAAGTCCACAGCCAAAATAGCAATAGCAGTAGATGCACTGGTAATTACATGGAAACAGGAGATCGCTGTAATGTATTCTGATTCTACGTTGATTTCAATAATTTTTCAAGAATTTTCTGGAAAGGAACTTTGGCATGGCAAGTCCTCCTTCGGTATATTTGATAGAACAGCCCTGCCCCAAAGATAATTACAGTGAGAAGCTCGAGGAGAATAAATGAAGCCCAAATAGTCAAAGTGGCTACCATGGGAACTATTAGGACAACAAAGTCAATGAAGAATCTAGTTTTCCAGGTATGTGAAAAAGAACTTATGTGCTGTGAGAAAATGATCAGGAATCCTCTGCACAGGATACAGAATGCAGGAAAGCACAATCCCTGGGCGATTTCCAGCATGGTGGTTCCATTGAGGTTACTGACAAAAGCTTCCTTCATCTGCTTTTGAGACATTTTCTTCTCCCTTTAAAAATAAAAAAGTCTTAGCGGGGAGCAGCGGCTTATGCCCGTAATCCTAGCGCTTTGGGAGGAGAATCACTTGAGGCCAGGAGTTTGAAATCAGCCTAGGGAACATTGCGAGATTCCGTCTCTCACGTGCCCCAATGGTGCCTGCGACTCCGCAGAGGGTCTACGTGGGCCCGGCTGCCAGACTCCCCCCCGCACCCGCCAAACCACGCGGGCACCAACCCTGTTTTCCCTTTCTATAAACGCAGAATTTAAACACACATTACTGGTTTTTTGTTTCTTTTTCTCTATTCACTTTTATTTAAGATAAAGATCACTTCTAACTCAGTATTTGTTAAATCAGAGGCTGGTTTCTCTTTCTCACACCTTAGTCTTCTCTCTACCTTAGGAATGAGAAGATTACATACTCAGATATATTATTGGGGAGCAGTTATATGCATCTCATAATTTAAATTTTCTTGCAGGCATTCAACAGTTAATTATGCTTTACTGTGCTGTTATTTTCCACTGTCTTTATGGCTTTGTTCCCACTCAAACAATTGGTGTATAACACATGCAGATAGCAAAGGTCTGCCTTTCTCCACCAACATCAACACATTTTAGTTTTAGGGACTGAGTCCTTACAAATCAATATATAAATGATAATCCCCATTTCAAAACCCCTCATTTGTAAATATGTCAGCACTTTCCACATTCATCTAATATAAAACTGTTTACAATAAAATTTTTAATGAAATATTTTGAGTTTGTCAAAGTCATTATCAATTTAATCTCAAAGAACAAACTTAAGTATACACAATGATATTCTCTGAAGAATTGTATCAAATATGAAATGGTTCAAAACAGTCTGAATATTCATTAAAGAGACACGAGCTAAATAACGCATGGCAGTCAGTGTTAGAGGTATTGTTTTTGTTTTGGGGGTTGTGAAATGAAATGTGTGTGCTCATTTACCATCATTAAGCATCTTTCACCAGAGGCCTTAAACATACTGTTCCATTTCTTGAGATATAGACATATCTTAAGAGAGATACTTCTGATACCTACTCCTCTGAGTATCTGAAATGTGATAGAAAGTAATTACTACAGCTATTCTGTTCCTCAATAACTATAAACTTAGATATTTTCCATGACGCAACTAGCAAGAAGTTATTCTATATATTTTGTAACCATCTACAGGAAATGTTACAAATTTCAGCTCTTCCTCTCCATTTTGCTTTTTAATGCAATTTACCTATTTTTCTAAAAATTCTCCAAAATCTCTAATCTGCTCATCCCTCTTCACATTCCCCTTGTGGTTTTCAGTGCTTCTTATTTATTCTTTTATGTAATTTCTAAGTTTGATGTCAGTAAGATTTTGGTATGGTTGGTAATAACACATGTGCTCACTCTACCACCTTGAACCAAACTTCAAAAGTTACTCTGATAAGTAAAAAACCTTAAAATTCTACATTTTGAAAAAGGAATGAATCATATAAACCTGAAGTTATTAAATATTCAAGTAATTTTTAAAAAATTAAAACAGATTCTTTCACTAAAAGGCTCTGACTCGATCTTTAATATATTAGAGTTTAATATTTTAAATGAAGTTAGACAGATAACATAAACAAATGAAGCTGAGTGTGTGTAAGAAATGCAGGTAATGGTGGACTCTGTGGCATTCAGATTCACATGCAGTCTAAACCAAAATGACTTCTAGCTGGATTCTGCAAGCAGATAATATGTGAGCTTTGGTGTACACAGAGGCATAGCCAGATGCTAACATCAGGGACAAGCATGTGACGGGGAGACCAGACCCTGGCTATGCAGTGCAGGCCAGTTTTAGGTGTGAGAATGAGCACATCAAGAGCCTTCTCTATGAATCACATAGTCTTGCTTCCACATTGTTGTTGTGTTGGGTTTTGTTGGTCATCTTTCATTATAATCATAAAAATTGGCACGTCGATATTTAACTCTAAAAAAATTCTGTTAAAACATCACTTCTTAGCCAGGCGTGGTGGTTTATCCCTATAATCCTAGCTACTCAGGAGGCTAAGGCAGAAAAGTCGCTTGAACCAGGAGGCAGAGTTTGCAACGAGCCAAGATCATGCAACTGCACTCCAGCCTGGGCGACAAAGTGAGACTCCATCTCAAACAAACTAACAAACAACCAAACAAAAAACCCCACTCACAGAGAAACAAAAAACATCATGTCTTTAGAGAATGTGCTCTTTCGCACTTTTAAAATGATACCTGATATATGTAATACGTCAAAGAAAAGTTGCACAAACAGAAGCTAGAGGCAAGAAACTCTTCATTCAAGACAATTGCAATAGAAGAGAGGGATTGAACTAATGTTCACTAAGCACAAAGTGGGCTGGATTTTAGGCATTGGGGTGAGCTAGTGGAAAAGTACTGGTGGACATTAGGGAGAAGGTTGGTCAGTGTGATTAAGATGTCTGTGTTTGCTAATTGTCAGTTATGGAATAGCTAAGTGTGACTTATTCCGTAGAGACTGAGAGATAGGGGCACTGTCTTTCTTGATGATTACATTTCAAAGGAAAGGTGCCCAGGTCCTTGAGAAAGACATTTCCTGAGTTGTAAAACTAATAGAAGATTTACTTCTCCAAGGGGCAGACACAAACTTGTAATTGCAAATTTTCTTAAGTAAATGCTCTAAGATACAAGAAGCCAGGAGTTGAGAGCCAGGAAGAAGCTTGTCTAATGTTTAGTCAGTTTGAGGAGAATGTTAAGCCCATCTTGGGCAATTGAAAGTATGTGGTGATATTTAAACTGATTATATGTATTTTCCATGCAATATGCTAGAATATTTTAAGCAAGCATATTATATTTGTAGAAAATTATTAAAATTTTATAAGTAAAATTATAATAAAATATGTATCAATGGTAACAAGGTCATTATTATCATCATAGATGTACATAACGAAGTAAAATAGAGAACTTTGGAAAACACTTAGAAAAAAAATTTAAGGCATATCTTATTATTTCTTAATATTTTCAGCACTTTTAAAGCATTCAGCCAGCTAACAGAAGGATGTAATGGTTGGATTTACATACAGAGATGATCGATTTTGAACTAAAAGCTTAAAATGAGATCAGAACAAGTTTCTCTTCTTTTCTGTTTTTTAGTACAATCACAACATTGATAGAAACATATTTTCTTTATTTGCATATTTTAATCTTTACATTCTTTTGATTACAGTTGATGATTATAGATTTTAAAATAATTGGATTAAATATGTTTGTTAACTATTTGAATAGACTCTGAAGACTGTATATAAACATAGTATTATTTGACTATCAATCTTATTGATGTTTAAAATTTGATCCAGCAATTTCACTACTGGGTGTATACTCAAAGGGAAATAAATCACTGTATCAAAAAACCCCTTCATTCCTATGCTCCTCACAGCACTTTTCGCAATAACAAAGACATGGAATCAGCCTAAGTATCAATAGCGAAGATATGGAATCAACCTAAGTGTCTGTCAGTGGAGGACTGGATAAAGAAAATGTGGTATATAAATATCTTTATCCAATCCTTTAGTAATGAACACTTAGATACAGAGATATATACACGCACCATGGAATACTCTCTAGCTATAAAGAAAATGAAATCATCTATTTTGCAACAACATGGATATAACTGGATGCTATTCTCCTAAGTGAAGTAACAGAGGAACAGAAAGCCAAATATACCACATCTTCTCACTTCTAAGTGGGAGCTAAACAATAGATACACGTGGGCATGCTGAATGGAATAATAGACATTGGAGACTCTAAGAGGTGGGAGGGTGGAATTGGGTGAAGGTTGAAAAATTTGCTATTGGAAACAATATTTAGGTATTGAGCACACTAAAAGCCCAGACTTCACCACTACACAATATATGCATACAAGAAATCTGCAATTGTACTCTCCAAATATATACATATTTTAAACAATTGTACTTTTAAGTCAAAGAACCTCTCTAGACAGCACAATTGAATGCCCACACTCATAAATTAATAAAGAGGTCACAGGGTATGCAAAATTATTTAAGTCAATTCAGCCCAAATTTCCATTTAAATATCTTCTACATTTTTAGTATTCTCTTCAAACAAGTTGCTCAGTGCAGAGAAAGAAAAGTGAGTGGAGGTATACAGTAGCTGTGAGATAAGAATATGTTCCTTGCTTGAATTTATGTCTTGTGTCTCTAATCTCTCTGATTCTCATGGACCTGTTTTCATACCACTTCCTCTAATGTCCTTTCATCTCTGTCCTAGCCATTACATCAGTATACTACCTTTGAAATTTTGTTGATGTAGTACCAACATAGTTTGAATATATGTTCCCATCAAATCTCATGTTGAATTGTAATCCCCAGTGCTGGAGGTGGGGCCTGGAGGGAAGTGTTTGAGTCATGGAAGAGGACCCCTCATGGCTTGGTGCAGTCCTCATGATAATGAGTTCTTGCAAGATCTGGTTGTTTAACGTGTTTGGGAATTATTTAGGAAAAACCTCAAGACATATCTTATTATTTTATATTTTCGGCACTTCTGGAATGTTCAGCCAGCTAACATTCCAGCCACCCAACATTCCCTCTCTTATTTCCACTCCTGCCATGTGAAATGCCTGTCCCCCTTTCACCTCCCACCATATTGTAAGCTTCCTGAGGCCACTGCAAAAGCAGATGTTGGTGCTATGCTTTCTGTACAGCCCCCAGAACCATAAGCCAATTAAATCCTTTTTTTCTTTATAAATTACCCAGTCTCAGGTGTGTCTTTAAAGCAATGCAAGAAGGGCCTAATACAAGTTTCAGTTTTGAAGAATCTTTCCAGGGTAGCATCTATTGGCCAGCTGGAGTCATGGAGAAGAGGGAAACACATTCAGTGGTGGTTTTAGTGAAATGGGCCTTTTATACAAAAGGCAAGAAACATGTCTAATCTTCACTGCTTTAGCATGGCCTTCTTCTTGATAAATCTTGCTTTTTATCTTCAAGATGCAAACT